GTTGGGTCTCATGCTGCACGGTGTTCTTATCCTGGCTGCCCAACAGTCACAGATGATGGATGCTGTGTGTGAGGAGAGCTGTCTGCACAGACTCGCCCAGGGAGCCCTGGGCAGCACCTGCCACACTTGCAGGGCAGAGGTCAGGGCAGGTGGGAGGCACCCTGTGGAGTCTGGGATCTAGTCAAAGTTCCTGGTACTGAGATTCCTAAAAAGAAAGGATGACTGTGTGAGTGTGTAAGGACCTCTAAAGACAGAGGAGGGACACATGGAAGGAGGAAGGGAGAAGGAAATAGAGGGAAGACAGGGAGGGAGAGAGAGGGAGAAGATGAGAGGCAAGAAGGCAATTAGATTGAAACCATTTTGGCCACTGATTGCAAGGTGATTAGATATTTTCAAAATTGTCAATTTCCTCTTATTCAAGCAAGCCTCTTTTTGAAATTGGATAGTGAGTTAAAAAGTTTTCCAAATACTTACGCCTGTAAGTACTTACGCATGTTCCTCTTATTGATTATATTGAACTCATGGCATTATTTATTCCAATTTCACACAAGAGGCCACTGAAATTCAGAGGATCTAGATAACACACCTAGACCTAACCACACTGTCTAGACAGTATTCTGATGTGGCTTCTCTGATTCCAAAGCCAGCTGCATCCTTCACTAAAACCTATAAATGGAAGGAAGACTTTGATGTGTACATTCTAGCTCATGCCCTTCACTAGTGTTTGGAGGTCAAATCTTTCCAAGTCCTTGTTGGAGGAGAGTAGCTCATACTGCACTTCTTTGGGGTACACTGTCATGGGGACCTGGCTGTGACCTGGTGCTAGCTGGAAGCAGCTGACTGAGGATGCTCACAAGTGGTCCTTCCAGCAGGGCACCTCAGCATACAGCATGCCTTGCATCTCAGATCGCTGTTGGAGCTTACAGCTGGGTCAGTTGCTCGCTGCCTGCTTGGTGAATTTGGCATCTTACATACATCATTCAGGGCTTCGTACCTGTTTATGCTAGACAAGCTTTCACGTGGAAGAGGTTCAATATGAACACCTTGATGTCAAAATAAACTGCACGTTAAGTGTGTGATCGCAGGACAGGCAGGGTTGGCTCTGCATGCCTTTGAGTGACGACAATTGGCTTCACCCTGACAGGATGTGCGAGGCTGCTAAAGTACCCATTTCACAAGAGATTGTGAGCCTAACTAAAGGAGCACACAGAGGGGCTCTCACAGGACTTGGCAAACTGTAAATGGTGGATAAACAGCGTCATTCACTTTTCCTGGTAGTGGTGATTTCCAAGACAACCCCTCACCCCCAGGACCATATACAAACAAGTTTAAGAGTCTCCTTTTTTTTTCTACTGTGTGTTGTCTTTCATGATGCTGCCTCGTAAACCTGCGACCTGGAACAAGTTGTCATTCCCATTTGACACTCAGTGAAACCAAGGTTTAGAGGACTTCGTTCGTATGCACTGATTTACACAGCAAGTGTAACCCAAAGGTTGTGGCGTCAAAGTGGACACTGCTGTTTTTAGTTGTTGTTTTATTTTTTTAAAGGATTTATTTGTTTATTTTTTACGTGTGCTAGCCTATATGTTTATGTTTACCCCTTGCATGCAAGAAGAGGGTTTGGATCCCCTGGATCTGGAGTCACAGGCCGTTGTCAGCTGTCCCATGAGTGCAGGGAGCGGAACTCATTCTCTGGAAGAGCAGCCAGTGTTTCGTCTGAATCAGGCTACCTGCATATCAGTTAAGACCCCCGTCACCAGGGACAGGGCTGTTGGCTTCCCCACAACAGTTCCGTGGTCCTCATTCCATCCCATGGTGCTTTCAGCCACATGGGTGTAGAGGGCAGATACTTCCCTTGTAGGCATTGGCTTGTAACATCTTCCCTTGATCCCCATGCTTTCCCCAGAGCTCACTGTTACCTGTGCTGCGCCTGCGCAGTGAGCGGCACCTGCCATTGTCTGGTACACATTCAGAGCCAGTAGGCATTTACTTACCACAGAACTCCACCTTAAGACCGCAGAGACAGGGAGTCTCTGCTTGCCTTCTGGGGAGCTTGACTTGAGGCCTCATGGAGTCAAGTTCTGGATACTTAAACAACAAATGAACCCCTACTCTTCTGAGCACCTACTATGTGCCAAGCATGCCGCTGATGCTAATTCCTTTCTTCCCTTCTCTTCCTGTTCGTGTGGGTCTGCCGTCTTGTTGAGGGAGGAGCACATGAGTGAGGAACAGCCATTTCCTAGGGTGCTCAGATGATTTCTCCTGCCACAATAACCTCGGGGCAGATGGTTTTCACAGGAGGAAAATCAAGGCCCAGGAAATCCAGTAACTCGCCTGTAGCTGCAGAGTTTACCTCATCAACTGTAAGGGAAGGTTAGAATTGCTTTCCTGGTTTTGAAGGCCGAATTCTCTTCAGAATACCAAGAGATCTGAGGCCCAAACAGGGAAGATGACAGCAGGGAACTAAAGGGTACCTCAGCCACGCGCGTGCCGTAAAGACCACGGTGGCCAAGTCCGTTCTATGCCTCGTTCTACCCAATTCTCTCTCACTCTCACTCCAGGAGAGTTTTGGGATATGGTGCCCATTTTTCAGGTGAAGAAATTAAGTTCCAAGGATGTTGTTGAGCTGCTTATCCACGGTTACAGAGTAAGAAAGTCGGACTTGAATTTAGTAGTTTGGTTTCACAGTCTGTGTGCTCTTAACTGCTACATTGTCACGCACACAAGAAAGAAAAGGGAAGGAAGGAAGGAAAGAAGGAAGGAAGGAAGGAAGGAAGGAAGGAAGGAAGGAAGGAAGGAGGGAAGGAAGGAAGGAAAGGGAAGGAAGGAGGGAGGGAGGGAAGGAAAAGGTAGAGGAGAGGGAGGAAGCAAGGAGGAGGGAGGGAAAGAGGAAGACAGAAAGGAAGGAGCTGTTGGCATGAGCAAATACCGGGAATTGTTACCTCAATTCCGTCATTTTGTTCTAGAACTTGTTCAGAGCTGTGCAAAGCGCTCGCTCTGCATTGGCTGTGTCGGTTCTCACACGATACAGGCACATTAGTGTTTTCCATGAGGGGACACCTGGGTTTCGGGAAGTTCATTTGCCTCCAGGCCTGCAACCGGGCAGGGAGTGGTGAGACTAGAATTCCTCTGCAGCCACCAACTCCTCCTAGTCCTCTCCTGGGCGGGGTGTCCAGAAATAACATGGCAGAAAGAAAAGTGCTAGGTTCTCAGTAAATGTTACTGGTGTGAACTTGGAATGGACACTGGGTACGTGTGGCCCAGGGATGGATATGAAGAACAGAGCCACGGGAGACCCTCTGTGATGGAATGTTCAGAGGAAAAGAGAGATGACAGGTTCCTGGGGACACCTCTGCGGACACACGGACTGTAGCCTGGGCAGTAATGAAGACGAAGAAGTAGTTTCTAGAAGGCATGGTACTGTGGGCAGATAGGGGTCTCTTTCAGCATCAAAAATCCCAACATCTACAGCAGATGAGCAAGAAAGAAGGAAGGAAGCATTTCACCCAGAAGGATCTGTTTGTTGGTGGCCTGTCTCAGAAGTTCAAGTCCAGCTGAGTCTACTTGGGGACTATGGCCTGGGGTTTCAGGGCTATGAGCATCACCTGACAGAGCAATTGACAAGAAATCTAGACATGCTAGAAAGAAAAACCACTTAAAGACCACCAAGGATCTGACATTTCTGATTTTCTATGAGTTTTAACAATGTTGTAATGATAGACACTGAAAAATTTTTATAACTGCTGATGTTAGGTAGTGGTAGATGTGGCCCCCAGAAAAGAGGAGGGTGGAGAAATTTGTCCAGGCTGGGACTGTGGTTGTTTAACCCTCACGCTAGTCTCTGTTTATAGAGATCCGCTCTGACGTTGGACTTACCCCCCACAGGAGACAGGGTCGAGCTCCGTCCTCCTCCCTGGTCTCAGCACGTTTCTGTGAGTTGGTAACTGGACAAATATCACCAGTGCATCCTGGGAAGGGAAGAAGGTTCCTTGTTAATTCTTGCGCCATGAACATAATGACTTTGTGAGTCTCTCCTCCTGCTTTAGGGTTTATACTGAGAGTTCCTGAAACGGAAGCAAGTACAACGCACGGGCACTGTTTGGTTGGCAGGAGTCGGGCTCAGTCCCGCCCAGGGGCACACTAGTCACGTGTCTGTGTGGGTGACGCGTTACACCAGAGTCTGCATCTCAGTGGAATGTTCTTAGTTCTCCTTGGAGTTCTCTGTATGGGTTAGTGATGGGTGTGAGCACCAGTGTGGGATTTTCTTCTTTTGCCCAGCCCTTCCTTCCTTCCCCACCACATCTGTCCTGGGGCAGCAACCCTGTGGTGTTCCATGGCAAAGGATAGTTATGAATGGTCAAGCACAAAATCGTAAACTTAAAACATTATGAGGCTTTTTTTGTTCGTTGTTTGCTTTGTTTTGCAATTTTATTTGGGCAGGATAGGTGACAGTTACACACTTGTTGAAAGTAAACTGTAAATGACATCCTGTCTTAATGTCAAAAGATTGGACATGCCTGATAGACTTGTGCAGTTGACGTCCTCCCACGGGGACTGTGAAGTCTCAATTGGCCTTAATAAAGCTTCTCAATATTAAATGTGCCCAGTGTAGATAGTACCTGTCACAGTTACCCCCCATGACCTCCTCTTTCTCCAAGCCTCCCTTCTAAGGTCGTGTTTAGGCAGTGCCAGATGGTGATGCCACAGGTAATTTGGCTATCTCCCACTCTACTCAAAACTGCTGAAAGGTTCCCAACCAGCTACTGAACAAAGGCCAGACTCCTTAGCCAGCATTGATGGCAGAACCAGGCTGGGATGTGTGCAGGCCACAGCATCTCAGAGTGCCGGATAGAGCAGGCGCTGTACTTACGTGCAGAAGGAACGCCCTACTGAGTGTGAGCAGTGACTGCCAAGGTGCCTGTTAATTTTTTTATTATATTTTAGTGTGTGTGTGTGTGTGTGTGTGTGTGTGTGTGTGTGTGTGTGTGTGTGTGAAGTTCGTGTGTGGATGTCAATTTTGACATATAGAGGTCAGAGGACAACTTTCTTTTTTTCTTTTACTGAACATCGATTCTTCTCTCACATAATATATCCTAATTATGTTCTCCCCTCCCTCTGTGCCTCCCTGCTCCTCCCCATGTCCTCTCCCCTCCGGATCCACTCCCTTTCTGTCTTGCATTAGAACAGAACAGGCTTCTCAGAGATAAAGATAAAATGTACTAAGATAAAACAAAACCTATCACAGTCAAGTTGGAGCAGACAAACCAACAGGAGGAAAAGAGCCCAAGAGAAGGCACTAGAACCAGAGGCCCACTCAATCACATGCTCAGAAATCCCATAAAAACACTAAACTGGAAGCCATACTATAACACAGAGGACCTGATGCAGACCCGTGCAGGCCCTGTGTATGCTGCCTCAGCCTCTGTGAGTTCGTAAGAGTTTTGATCATGTTGATTAAGAGGGCCTTGTTCTCCTGGTGTCCTCTTTACCCTCTGGCTCTTATACTCTTTCTGCCTCCTCTTCCATGGGGTTTTCCGAGTTCTGACAGGAGGGATTTGATGGGGACATCCCATTTAGGGCTGAGTGTTTCAAGGTTTCTTACTCTCTGCATATTGTCTGCTGTTGGTCTGTGTCTGTTCCCATCTGCTGCAGGAGGAAGCTTCTCTGATGATGGCTGAGCAAGGCACTGATCTATGAGTATAGCAGAACATCATTAGAAATCATTTTTATCACTTACTAGTTTTTGTAAGACAAATAGTGTTGGGTTTTACTCTAGGCCCTCGGTCCCTGCGCCCTCTAGTCTCAGGTTCCCAGTCACCCAAGCAGCGTTGGGTGTGGGTTCCATCTTGTGGAATGGGCCTTAAATCAAAGCAGATGTTGGTTGTGACTCCCCCAAGCTTTGTGCCACCACTGCACTAGCATATCTTGTAGACAGGACAGATTGTAGATCAAAAGTTTTGTGGCTTGCTCAATGTTTGTGTTTCTCTTTAGGCAGCATGCAAAGAACCTTCCCAGGTCAAAGACTCTAGAATGTAGGGGAAGGCTCGATGTGGGCAACAGCTCCACTTCTCCATGTTCAATGAGTTACGTGGGTGTTGTCTTCAGCAATGGGGCTTTGCTGTCAGTTTGGGGAGAGCAACCCATTGTCTTAGCAACAGCCCTGGGTTGTTTGGGAATTCCCATAGGACCCCTTTGGCCAACATCTCAATTAGATGACACCCAATCCTAGTACTGGAAGCTTCTTTGGTCAGAAAAGATGGCCAGTTAGGACTCTGTCTTGCCCATTATTTGTGATTTCATTTAGATCACCTTCATATATGTATATATTTTAGGAAGTTTCTACTGTATTAGGTTTCCATACTACCCCTCAAATGCTCCTTAATTTAGCTGTGTCTCCCCATATTTCTTCCCTCAAACCTCTCTCCCCTCCACACTTGATCCTCCCATTCTACTGCCCCCAATCCATCCATAGTTATCCATTCTGTTTCTCTTTTCTAACAAGTCTAGCTGTACCCTCTAGTCCCTTACTCTATACCCTCCCTCTGTGGTCCTACAATTGTAGCTTGGTTATCATTGGCTAGTTATCACAGCTAGTATCCACATAAAAGCAGATACATACCTTATTTGTCTTCTGGGTCTGGGTTACCTCACTCAAGATGATTTTTCTCTACTTTCATTCATTTGCCTGCATACTGATGCATGATGTCACTTTTTAACAGCTGAGTAATACTCCATTGTGTGAATGTACATTTTCTTTATCCATTTTTTTTGGGTGAGGGACATTTAGATTGTTTCCAGTCTCTGCCTATTATGACTAGAACAGCAATGAACATGGTTGAGCAAGAGTCTTTGTTGTAGGATGAGGTGTCCTTTGGGATATGCCCAAGAGTGGAATAGCTGGATTGTGAGGTAGATCAATTCCCATCTTCCTGAGGAACAGCCACACTGATTTCCACAGTGATTGTACAAGCTGACACTCCCGCCAACAATGGATGAGTGTTCCTGTTACTCCACATCTGAGGACAACTTAAGAGTTGGTTCTCTCTGTCATGTGAGTCCTGGGAATTGAACTGGAGTCCTCAGGCTTTGCAGCAGGTACCTGTCTCCATGGCCCAGCCTGTCAGCTTCTTGAGTGTTGTCCTGCCTCAGGCACTTTACACATGCTGTTCCTTCAGGGACCCTCCCTTCCTCCCTCTTTGCTGTGTCCACAACTCTCCCCCTCTTTTCTGTGCCTACCACATTAACTCCTTAGCTGTCACTTGGTGTCACTTCCTCTAAGAAGATTCATGACACTTAAAATAGGTCAGTTGTGTGTTTTGTTTTGTTTTTTCATGTCCTGTGGTGCAGGGAGTTACATCTTTTATTGTATGATTATCTACAACCAAGTTAAAAACTCGAGCCTTCTGTGAAGATTCTGTGTCTGTGGTGTATGGCCAGCACCAGGCACATGATCCTCTACAGAGAGCTGACAGGTTAAGAGTGGGATGGATGAACATAAATTCCTTCATAGGCTCGCCTTTTGGAGCGCCTGTGGTTCAAGTCATCCTTGGAAAGCTGCAGAGAGAGTTCAGATGGCTTCTTAGAACATTGGGATAAATGTGAAGTTCTACCCTCGGCCACCAAGTCCCTGCATGCTCCAGCCCTTCCCTGTTGTTCTTCTGTGTCTCCCTCTCCCCCATTACAGTGGTCTCCTGGATCCTCCTCAGTCTCCAAGCCCACTTCCTGCCTTGGGCCTGTGCCCTCCAGCGTCACCTCCTCAGACCAGCAGTTAGTGTCCCTACTACCTAAAACAGTACCTCAGGCCCGTGTTATCCCATTCTGTGGCTCTTCCCACTCTTAATGCTCTGAAGTCATCTCCTTTGTCTGTTTGTCTGTCTGCACTGCAGGACCCAGGTCCTCTGAAGCCAGGACTTCTGGTCTGTTCATCACTGGATCTTTAGCTTAGCATAGCGTAGGCACCAATCAATGTTTGGTGAGCGTGGGAAAGAATGAAGGTAAACAAGAGGTAGGACTGTCTTTGTGGTACAGCCCCTTCCTGGATGGAACCCAGGGGCCCCTGGGCTAGGGCCTGTGGTGTTGCCATGGTAACCACTGACCTGGAGAGCCCTTTGGAGAGGCCACAGCTGCTGCCTCCTAGGGTCCAAATTCTCCTGTGTGTCCCCCACCAATGTGGAGCCAGGGAGGAGAAAAGAGAGACTGGGAGAGAATAATGAAGAGGAAAGCATGCCCTGGTGCTGGAGGTGATAGGCACAGGCCATGGCAACGGCATTTCTCTGGAAATGACCTGGGCTCTGGGGAAGGGACCTGAGGACAGGCCCTCCTTGACGGTCATCTGTGTGGCATATCAACCCTTTTAGGTAGTGTTTCTACAGTTGTGGGTTCCTAAAATAAGCCCCAGTGCAGTGTCCTGAAAGACTGCTTCTCCAGAGAGCATGAATAACACTTTCTATTAAAAACCTGGTGACACTTCCTGTCAGGCAGCCTTTTCTCAGGTATTGCATAAGACATTCCTGCTGTCACCAGTTCCTCAGAAGCGGAGCTCCGTGCCTCCTAGTAACACTCCTACTGACAGGCCTGGTGAGCCAGGCCTTTGCAAGCTGCTCCTAAGGCACCACCACACACCCATGTCCTTCCTACCATGTCCTTGGACCATAGATTGACGGACTCTCCACCTTTCCCAGAACCCACCTGGCCTTACACTGCTCTGTGCCCTCGTCTCTGACCGCAGCTCTCTTACCTAAAATGCCTCTCTTTCCTCCGTTACCTGAGTGCTGGTGAATTCTTGAGGGGTCAGCCAAACTCACTTGTCTGTGAGGCAGCCAGGCTGAGCTCGAAACTGTCTTCCCTCAGCCGCAGCATCTTCGTATACACGCTGCTTGTCTACGGAGGCCATGGGCCACGAGTCACAATGCTTGAAGTTAGACAGACCCGACGTGGCTCAGCCACTACCTGCCTGAGTTTCACTACCTGGACTCTCCCTGTCTGTCGGCCTTAGCTACCTTCTAGCAAATCAGAGTCAGTGGACTCTCTGCCTTGGTTTCTCTGAGGAGTAGAGACGAGGCTGGTGACACAGAGTAACTGGCATGTGGTGAACACTTGGTCACTGCTACAGTTCACACGCCCACTGACTGTCTGGTCTAGTCTGTGCTACAGTTCACATACCCACTGACTGTCTGGTCTAGTCTGTGCTACAGTTCACACGCCCACTGACTGTCTGGTCTAGTCTGTGCTACAGTTCACATGCCCACTGACTGTCTGGTCTAGTCTGTGCTACAGTTCACATACCCACTGACTGTCTGGTTTTGTCTGTGCTACAATTCACATGCCCACTGACTGTCTGGTCTTGTCTGTGCTACAGTTCACATGCCCACTGACTGTCTGGTCTTGTCTGTGCTACAGTTCACATGCCCACTGACTGTCTGGTCTTGTCTGTGCTACAGTTCACATGCCCACTGACTGTCTGGCCTTGTTTCTCACCAGTGTGTTCTTGGGTTCTGGGAGATGACACCTTCTCTATTTTCCTAGGATCCATGAGGCCAAGTGGTTGAAGTGCTTTGCCATGTCTGTTTCGGGGCATCTTTGGAGAACCCTGGTAGACAGGGATTCAGGAACCCATCACCACATAGCTAGTGAGTGGTGAGGCTGGGACTTGAACTCAAGTTCCCTAACCCTAAACCTTGCAATCTACCAAGACCTCTTCTGTCTTCCCTTCACCTTGTACCGACTATATCCCCCTTGATTCCTCCATGTCAGCTACCTGGACCTTAATTAGAACATGATGCTGCCTCTTCCGACTCCTCAAAGGGCTTGTTCCCTTGCTGACTTCTCTCTGCCCAAGTTCCTCTTCCTCTGAGGACTTTTCTGATAGAGGATCTCCCTGTCTGTCATTCCAGCTGCTGCCTTTTGTTCGTTTGTTTTTTGTTTTTTATTTGTTTGTTTTGGTTTTTATTAGTCACCCCTGCCGATTGGTTACTTAACTGTCCTTAGCTCTTGGGGACAAGCTATTGAACAAGGTGAATAAGGTTGTTACATTTTAAGGATGAGGAAAATAAATTATAGAAGGCAAATAAATAGGCCTTGAGGCCCTAGTCCACTGGAGAGAACTTGGGTTCTGGTTGAATAACTTCTATTAGAATTACAAGGAAGGTGAGCAGCAGTTATTTGTAAAGTGAAGGAGTAGATAGGAAATCTATGGTCCCCGTGAACAGGCTCTGCAAGCTCTGAGGAGTGTCTGGCTTTGACTGCCACTTTAATCAACTCCCCACATATATCGACATGTGTTTATGAGCAGAAGTCTAGGCCTGGGACATGCTGCCTCCTGGATGTGGCAACTTCCTACTACTTCCACAGCCCCCTAGGAATCCCAGTACTGTATGTGGATCTGCTCAGTCTCATCCTAGAAATGGAGAAAAATCACGGAAGTTTCCCAGTCTTTGAGCCAAGGTGAAGAGGCATGAAGGTCTATCTGTAAGCAAAGCTGGCTTAGCTCCTGGGAAGTGAAACTCACGGGCAGGCTCAGCTGCAGTGAGCCCAGGTGAAGGGAGTTGGTGCCACCCAGTAGCCCGAACTCACAGTCATCCTCAAATCCTTTGCAACATTTGCCACAGCTTGGTTTTCACTACAGGAAGTCATCGAGTGTGAGCGAAGAGCTCCTTCCTCTATGCTGGAACATAGTGCCGGGGTGGCAGCGCTGTTCACAGCTGGTCTTGCTTTATAGTTTCCATATCTATAAATAGAAGCACCAAAACATGGTGAGAACATTGTTCTGAGGTTTAACTTAGACCAATATATGACAATGCCTTCTTGAGTGACACTTGGCCCATGGTAGGTGGGAAGGAATGTACCCAACAGTGTTTGTTTAGTGTGCGCAACATTTCTGGGGCCAGGCATAGCATGCAGCTGGGTTCAAAACGGTGAACAGAAGCTGGGGTACATGCCTGGAATCCCGCATACAGGAGGTGAGAGGATTGAAAATTAGAGGCCAGCCTGGGCTACATCATGAGACCTTGTCCAAAAAAAGGGAGGAGGCTAGAGAGGTGAACCAACAGTTAAGAGCACTTCTTGCTCTTTCAGAGGACCTGGGTTTGGTTCCCAGCACCCTTATGGTGGTTCACAGCCATCAGTAACTGTAGTCCCACCGGATGTGACCTCTGAGGGCACCGGGCACACATGTGATATATATACTTATGGGCAGGGAAAACATTCAGAGACATCAAACAAATCTAAAGGTTCTTTTGAAGATGGAGAATAGAACTTCAAAGGGTCCTCGCCTCAGGAGTTCAGGAGATAACGTCTGCTTTGCTCTGAGATGGCCGCAGAGGCTGAAAACCAGTCTTGCTCCTGTTTTTGTTACACACAGCTTTTCTCTAGTACAGCTTCTTACAACAAAAAGGGATACTTGTTGAGTTTTGCTTTTTCTAAGTTGGGAGGTGGCCTTTGATGTGCTGTGCTTTTCATGGTCTCCACGATGAAGAAGATTAGGGAGTCTTGCAGCTGTGTGGACAGATCTTCTTATAAGCCACACATTCTTTGACATGGCAGGAATGCAGCATGTACTGGGGCAAGGCTGGGCACTGTATGCTTGATTCTAGTGGGGAGTCGGAAGAAAGAAGCAAACGCACTCCGCTCCTGCGTTGTGTGAGCTCTGAGCTGATGAGCCTGCCACACCTGACAAAGGCTGACAGGGAAATAGGCAAGCGGGTTTAGCAAAAAGTTGTCATGTGTAGGTAGTGTTAGCAGAAGTTCTGACACAAGTCAGGTTGTGCTTGAGGCTGCAGCCCTGGCGCTGTCTGGGTGCCGTGTGGGATGCAGGAGAAGGAGGCTCAGCCCACACTTAGAGTACTGAGGCTATGACCTTTGGGTGGTGGTCCTGACCTCTGCCAGCTGGGTGACTGTGACAAATCATCTAACCTCTCTCTCTAAGTTTTAGCTTTCTTACCTCAAAAACGTGCTTCTCTCTCTCCTTGCCCCCCGTCTCTGTTGGTAGAGTATGGATGTGGGTGCCAGAGGTTCGCCACCTTCATTTTTGAGATAGCATCTCTCATTAACCCTGGAGCTCACTGATTTGGCTCCAGGGTGCGTCCTTTGTCTGGCTCCCCAGCACTGGGCTGACAGGCATGCTCTCACGCCCAGCTTCTTACGTGGGTGTGAGGAATCTAAACGCAGGGTCTCACACTTTCTCACTTCACCCACTGAACTGGCTCCCCAGCCCTAAAATGTGCCCCTAACAACTCCTAGTTCATCAGTTGTCACGATGATCCATAGCCCGATTTGACAGTGTGGAACATGTCACAGGCATTCCATACAGGCTGGCCTTTGTTACTGAATCCTATACTACAGAGGTAGATAAGCAAAGGGCCTCATTGAAATTCAGTATGTATGCCGTTCTGGTTGAGAATGGCAAACTTCAAGCTGTCCCAACCACCCAGTCTGGACTGCAAGACTCTTGGAAGCATGGACTCCCCAAGTGTTCCCCCCCCCCCAGTCTGGAGCCATCGAGCTGACTCTGTTTGCCAGGTGTTCCCAAGGACATTGACTAAAAGATGTTTAGAACCTGGACAGCGACAAAGCAGGAGAAATTTCTTCCAAGAAATAACTGAAATAAGTGACCTTGGACCAGAACATAGAGAGGTGACGTTGCTTTCCCATCTCCGCCCGGAGTCAGAGAGACTGGTTTATTTTGAGTGTTCCCTGGAAGAGAGTGGAGAACAGCCTGGCTACAGACACACTCTGCTTGGGGTCAGAGGGAGCCGGGGTGTGCAACAGTAGGCAGAAAACTCCATGACATCTCGAGTCTCTTCTTGTCATGGCCCTTTTGACTGTCCCTGTCCTTGAGCTAGGCTTTCATCCATCTCTGGTGCTGGGACTGAGCCACAACAGGAGAACAGGAGAGGAAAATTCTTGCTTGACTTGTGACATGGTGGCCAGGGGCTGGGCCGTTCTGGCCCACCTGGTATGGAGAACAGGCTCCTCCCTGATGTTGCCAAGTTTTTCAGAACACCTCTCTTATTGCAGGGGTTTCTCATGGCTGGACCAGGCCCTCCCAAGGTTAACAGGACTGACGGGTATAATCTAGTAAGTGACAGCAAGACGCTCCCTTGGTTCCTAGTCTCATGAAAGGGAGAAGGAAGGGTATGCGTGCGTGCGTGCGTGCGTGTGTGTGTGTGTGTGTGTGTGTGTGTGTGTATGTGTGCCTCCACGCACATGAGAGTAGCTGGGTGTGTGTCCTTACCTGAGAATCAGGGATAAGCCCAGAACAATAGCACTGCTCTCTTTCTGTCTCTCTGTCTCTCTGTCTGTGTGTGTGTGTGTGTGTGTGTGTGTGTGTGTGTGTGTGTGTGTGAAAATTCATGTGCATATTCGTGTGTGTACATTCCTACAGAGAGCAGAGAGCATCTTCAAGTGCCACCCCTCAGGCCTAGTTTCTGAGGCAGGGTGCCACTGTCTTGAAGGTCATATAGTAAATGAGGCTAGCCTGTCTGCAAGCCCAGAGATCTGCTGCCTCTGCCTCACCAGAGCCAGGATTATAAGCATGTGCCACCTCACTGAGCTCAGGCCCTCGTGTTTGCCGTACTGAGCCATTTTCCCAGCTCCAGATACCGTCTGTGGTGGTGCAGTTTGATGGAGAAGGATGCCATCATGGTCAGCCATGGGCGCTGCCAGGGAACTGTGTCAGGGCTAGAAGTGAGGAAGTCACAGTGGCAGCATGCTGGGCAAGGCTGGAAAGGGTCCGAGAGACCCATTTGCTTTGGGATATAATGTTTAGCAAACACCCACCTTGCACGCCCCAGCTTTGAAGCGTTACAAGCTTCTGGCATCCCTGCCATGCGTTTGAGCTTTGTGTCCTGTGATTCCAGCTTCTGCACTCCTCGGGATTGCTCGGAAACACCAGATCTCCATATCCTCTCAACAAGCTGGCCTTTGTTCCTCTCCTTGGATGTCCTCCCCCTACTTGTGTGTAATTTTGGAAACAGCTTTTAAAAGAGCATTTGGTTGGGTCATCACCACACCACAGAACAAAACCCAGCTCTTCGCCCTGCTGCTTGCTCTCGCTCCGTTCTCACTTTGTGAAGCATGCTCACCTGCCCAGCTTCCTTAGACAGCTTGTGACCTAAGGCACTCACTAGAGATTTCTTCCTCAGCTTTTGGAAGTACAAGGATTCACATTACTGAGCCTCCCTCTAAGTCCCAAATGCTTTCTAGGAAAAACAGAGACTAAAATCCTTGCATCTGAGAGTGATTTTGAGAACTGGATAAGGTTCTCAAAGAGAATGGTAAGATAGGACATGCCAGCCTCCACATTATGAAGGCAATGAAGGCCAGGGGTGGTGGTGGTGCACACCTGCAATCCTGACATGAGGTGCCGAGGCAGGGGCATCCCCAGTAGGAGTTACATAGTGACTCCAAGGACAAAATGGGCTGCATTTTGAGACCATCTCAATAGAAAAGAAAAGAAGGTGGAGAAAGAAATAAGAGTATTTAACAACCGCCAGCCCTGGCCGAGGGCCACATATGTGTGTGAAATCACACCGTGAAGAATACAGAATTCTGTGGGGAAATTACGTTTAGGAAGACAAGGCTCAGAAACAGTCACTGACACATAGAATTATAATCACAAACAGTAGCACAGCTTGGCACAGTCTTGATCATTCAGACTGTACCAGTGCAGAGGCCTGGGGATTGATTGCCTTTGCAAGCAGGTGTCGGAAAGTGGACTTACTGTGGTTTGTTGTGAAGTACTAGAAAGTGAGTCCTCTAGGCAGAGGTGACATGCTTTGAGTATCTCTAAGTAGCTGGTGATGTTTGAGGCGAGAGCTTTTGCATATCCTTCTGGACTCTGCTCAGCTGTTTTCTTCCTTCATCTAAGTGTTGCAGAAGAAATGGAGCCCAAGGAAACACAGATTCAGCACCATGTTCCAACTCTTCTCTCTGAGGTCATTTGCACTGGACTATGTTGTGCTCAAAGGGGGCAAGTGATTGTATGTAGCTGATGTTGTTGAATGATTGGATGAATGGGGGTGTTCTAGAAAAATGGAATAAGAATTATGCTATATTATGAAAAATAGACCCCTGATTAACTTTTGGAATTGGATAGAAAACCATAGTCCTTTAGATTTTCAAAGTGTTTCATAGACACTCTGGTATCTTAGATTTCCCTCTCACTCTACTTGGAAGAGTCCCCCTTTGGGGACCAGCTGACAAAGGAGGTGACTGCCAGGTTCCCTGTCCTCCTCCACTTCAACCAGATTCCCTGAGGTTTGTTTTATTTGAAGAAAAGAGTCTCTGACTGACAGATAAGTTTGCAAAGCATGACCAGTTGATCAAACTATGGTTTACAAGGCACGTCTCAGGAATGTATGTCATTATAAAGAAAGATGATCCTTAGTTGGTAGTACTAGGCTTCGAGTGTTCTAGAATTGATAGATTTTGATCAAGAAATCTTCAAGTGGGTCTTCAAATGGCCATGTTTCCTCCAAGCTACTCAGCGACTTAGTAGCCATGGTGTACACAGAGCTCCACGGACAGTCCATTTCTGGTCCAGGCTGACCTGTAGGAAAGTTCATGGTCATGTTCTCTAACGGGTTTGTTATGCTCCTGTCTACTACGAACAGCAGTTCTGTGATTGACTTTTTATTTATTTTTTCTTCTGTAGAGAGCTGGATTGAAAGATGTCTCAATGAGAGCGAGAACAAACGCTATCCCAGCCACACATCTTTGGGGAATGTGTCTAATGACGAAAGTAAGTCTTGAATCTTATTCCTTTATGACAGCCCAGACGAGGCCAGGGTCCTGATGGGATTGGGGGCACTTCTGGTTTACTAGTCTAGGGCAAACCACCTGAAACAAGACAGACTCCAACCAGGAATGTTCTGTAGAGAGAGTGGAATCCAGTCATGTGTGCATTGAAATCTGGGTCAGAGAAACCCCTGTTTGCAGTTTACACACCTGTCTTCCACAGTGGATCTTCTAGGCTGGGTCACCACAGATCCCACCAGAGTGATGCCGTAATTGTGCAAATGCAGACCCTGAAGGGGAGAACACTCTCTGTATCCAATGTTAATGTAGTTGGGTTATAGGTTACGGCTTTAGAACGACAAATGCCCTTGCTATTGGAAAGTCCAAATGTCATCTGGACCTCAACTAGGAACTGAGGTTAATTGCAGGATGTAAATTCCCACATTTACACCTCTCCTCAAGCTGTGACAGGCCTCCTGAGTGCCTTAGAGTTAAGGACCTGTATGATCACCATCAGCACTAAAAGGGAGTGCAGCCCACTCTATCACACCTGCTGATCACAAGTAGCTTCTCCTTTGGGTGTGATGCTGTCTGAGGTCAGTTTTCTCTAAGCCTAGACTGGGACCACCCTGCCACCAGCTATCAGGACACTCCTTAAATTGGTGCTGGGTTTTTTTTTTTTTTTTTTTTTTGGTTTTTTTTCGAGACCGGGTTTCTCTGTGTAGCTTTGCTCCTTTCCTGGAACTCGCTTTGGAGACCAGGCTGGCCTCGAACTCACAGAGATCCGCCTGACTCTGCCTCCCAAGTGCTGGGATTAAAGGCGTGTGCCACCACCACCTGGCAGGTGCTGTTTATTGTGTTGAGGTAGTTTCCTCCTATTCCCAATCCTCTGAGTGATTACTTTTTATCATAAAGTGTTTAATTTCATCAAGTGTTTCCTTCTGTGTCAATTAATATGATCATACACTTCTTTTCTCTTATGTTAATGTGGTATATTAATTACATTCATCTTTATATGCTGACCGTCTTTGCGCTCAAACATTTGATCCAGCTTAGCCATTGCAGAGTGCTCTGATTCTGGCATTTTTACATGTTCTCCATCCTAGTTGCCAGTGTTTTGTTGGGTGTGTTTGCATCGGTACTCACCAGAGCTGCTGGTCTGTAGTTTTCTTTTTCTTACAGTGTCTCAGTCTGGCTTTGATGCCGTGGTGTGGTGATTTTGAGCTTGGAAATGTGCCTGCCTCTTCCATTTTTTATGGGATTTAGGAAGATTGGTGCTCTGAACATTCCTGTGTCTTTGGTGGACTCAGGCACTCATTTCTGCTGCGTTTGTCACAGGACAAATGTATATTTAGTCTTAGTAGACGGTTATGTGCAGCTTTCTAAGGTAGCTGAGCCGATGCAGACTCCCAGATGTAGCAGAGGCTTCTGGTGGCTTCCCTGCCAGCTTTTGTTGTACCCATGCATTTCCATCCTAGCTGTTCACATGAGTGCATGTTATTACTGTGCTTTTAATTTGCAATTCTTGGATACCTAGAGAGTATCTTACCATATGCTTACTATTCCACAGCCTGCTCATGTCTTCTGCCTGAGTGTTTTTAAAATCATGTTGTCTTCCTACACTCTATCTAGGGGGATTTGCCAGGTAAAAGTAGTGTAAATACCTTTTCTCCATTTGTGGCTTGCCTTTCCACTCTGTGTGTGTGCACATGCATGCACATGTCTGTGCATGTAGGTATACATATGTTTGTGGGTACACATGTATATGCATGGAAGCCAAAGTCAACCTCTGGTGATTTGAAGGAGCTGCCCACCCTGGTTTTTGAGACAGGGTCTCTCTTTGGCCTAGAACTTGCCTGAGTAGGCCCCAGAGAACCGCCTCTCTCTACCTCGCCTGCACTGGGATTACAAGCGCCCTCCCCACGCCTGGCTTTTCTCATGGGTTCTGGGACTCAGACAAGCACTTGATTGGCTGAGTCTTCTCCACACCCCCTTTCATTCTCCTAATGTTAACTTTGGACGACTTGAACTTCTTAATTGTTGGCTTTTTTTTTAGCATTCATTTATTTTGTGTGTAAGTAGTTTGGGGGTAGGTAGGTGATGCCTGCTGTGGCACACAGTTAGAAGCCTGAGAACGTATTTGCAGAGTTAACTTTCTCCATGTGGATCCCAGGGATGGAACAAGTGCCTTGGCCCATTGAGCCATCTCCACAGTTTCCAGAAGTAATAAAACAATGGTTTTCTCTTACAGTTAGTGCTTTCTGAGTTGAGAGAATTTGCTTATCCCAAGGTCATGAAGATTTGTTGTTATATAGAATTTTATTATTTTCCCTTTACATCAACCACCCATCTGGAATTTTTGCATGTAAGTGTGAAGGAGATGTCAGAGTTCTTTTTCTATCAGTAATTTTCAACAGACAGAGGTCCGTTTCTGGAGAAGACTATCCTTTGCCCACTGACAGGGTTCCTTTGTCAGGAACTGAAGGTCATATGGCAGGGATCCGGGTCTGCAGTTACATTCTGCACTATTGTTCTGTCTGTCTGTCTTGAGTGTCACACTGTCTTTGTTACTGCACCTTTATAAGTCGAGGTGACTGCTAACAAAGACCTTATGATATTCTCCTTTGATTTTTGTTTCTCTGGGGACAGGGTCTCCCTGCTCAAGTAAGGTGTGTTTGGCACTCAGCGTGTAACCCAGGCTGGTCTCAGACTTGTGGTCTCTTGCACCTGCCCCAGTATAAAAGTTACTACAGGCCTCACCAGGCCTCATTTTTTTCTTCTTTACTATTATTTTGGATAATCTACATTCTTTTGTTTGTTTATTTGTTTGTTTTGTTTTATTTTGTTTTGTTTTTCGAGACAGGGTTTCTCTGTATAGCTTTGGAGCCTTTCCTGGAACTCACTCTGTAGACCAGGCTGGCCTTGAACTCACAGAGACCCACCTGACTCTGCCTCCCGAGTGCTGGGATTAAAGGCGTGCACCACCGCCACCCGGCTGGATAATCTACATTCTTACAAATCCATATAGACTTTAGAATCAGCTGGTGATTTTTTACATCTCAGGGGGGGGGGAACCTACTAAGATTAAAAAAATAGAATTTTATTAAATCTATTAAAAAGGTGGGGAGGCAGGGCCTTCAAGAGATGGCTCAGCAGTTAAGATCATCATTCCAGATGACGGACTGCTCACAACAGCTGTCTGTAACTCCAGCTACAGGAATCTGGTGCCTCTTCTGGCCTCCTCACCACACCAGCACACACGTGGTGCACAGACATACATGTAGGCATACACAGATACACATGAAATAAAGATAAATATGTTTGTTAAAAGTTTGGGAAAACCAGCCAGACATGGTGGTGCACGCCTTTAATCTGAGCACTCGGGAGGCAGAGGCAGGCAGATCTGTTAGTACAAGGCCAGCCTGGGCTACACAGAAAAACCCTGCCTCAAAAAACAAAACAACAGCAAAAAAAAATAAATAAATAAAGGGAAAAACCAACCTCTTAGCAATCTTGAATTTTTCAGATTTAAGAATTTTTAAGTATGTGCCATATCTGGTCTCTATACTTAGATCATCTTTAGTTTTTCCCGGAAGTGGTCTATGCGCTTCAGTGGGGCGGCTTTACACACCTTGCTTTAGATTATTCCTAGGTGGTTTTTAGTGTTACTGTAAGCACTATTACTTCTTCTAATTACTGTTCACTAGCACACCAGAGTGTCATTGCTTTGTTGGGAACAAATAATTGACTTATAAATTTGCTTTTGGGGGTTGCTCAAGGTCAAACCCAGGGTCACACACATGCTAGGCCAGCACTCTACTACTGAGCCCTTGAGGATGTGAGACACTCTAGGATGACCTGAAACTTGCCATCCTCTTGGCCCTCTTCCTTCGTCCTGGGTCACACGGATACCCCTCTATGCCCCACAGCATTGTCTGAGTGTCGTATGCTCGTAATCATGTCACCCAAGGACAATGATAGTGTTTCTTTGTCTTTATCATCTCTACGTTAAAAAAGATTATTTTATTTTATTACATTTATTGTTTAGTGTATACTGGAGTGTTCCACAGTGGGGATGTGGTGGTCAGAGGACAACTTTTTGGAGTTGGCTCGCTCTTTCCACCATGTGAGTCCTGAGGACTGAACTTAGATTGCCAGGTTGGAAGCAAGTGCCCTCACCTGCTGAGTCCTCTCAGCAGCCCAGTCTCCATGATTTTCTTTCTTTCCTGTGCCTTGGTGCACTCACTGGGACCCTTCAGGGATGCTGTGCTGAAGAGGTGAGCGAGGACATCCTTGTCCTGCCCCCAGCCTAACACTTAGGAGTTTTCAGTGAGTCTCTACATCACATTTCTCTCCTTTTTTTCTGTTAGCATTGTGGATTACATTGATCATTGATTTTTGTATTCCTTGAATAAACCATACTTGGCCAGAAGTTTCAACTTTCGGAGGACACATTTCTGGGTTACACCAATTACTATTCTGTGAGGGATGTGGCCTCTACGTTGGTGACATTTATTGGTCTGTGATTTTTAGTACTTGGAATGTCCTTATCAGGTTTCTGTGTGAAACTTGTGGAAGTCTTATAACAGTGTGTGAAGCTTCTATTTTTCCATTCGTTTTGGAAAGCTAGTAAGAGATTGGCTTCCTTCTTAACTATTTGGAAGAATTCAACATGGACGAAGTCTTCTGGGTTTTCCTTTGAAGGAGGGTGTTCAAACCTCAGATTAAATATTTTTAGTGGGTATAAAATTATTCATATCTTTCTTACTACTTTTATCGATTTTTTAAAATTCATTTATTTTTATTTTATTGGTGTTTTGCCTGTATGTCTGCATGTCAGTGTTGTTGGTGTTGAATATTGGAGTTACAGACAGTTGTGAGCTGCCATGTGGGTACTAGGAAT